CAACTGTCCAGTTTTGGTGAACCTGTGCCCACTGTAGCTCATATTCCTGTTCTTGGCTTACATTAGTGTGGTCTTCTGCCTCAAGGTTCAATGTGTTGTGTATTCTGAGATGCTTTTCTGCTCACCATGGTTGTAAAGAGTGGTTATTTGAGTTACTATAGCCTTCCTGTCATCTCGAAGCAGGCTGTCCATTCTCATCCGACCTTAGTACAGTTGTACTGTATATCACATATCATGACAAGTAACTAAATAATTCCAATATTATTATCTCATTCAGTATGCTCTAAAATCATGTATAAGTGCCACCCTGTTGGCCTGCCTTTATCAACAAACGGTCATGTCCATGTCTGCAACTCCCAAACTCACATGATCCTCAGCTCATGACCTCAACACATGACCTCCAGTCAAGCACCTATTCCCACTCTCACCTGATTGCTCTCATGTTTGCAATCACACTACTCCCTTTAAATAATCTGGACCCTCAGGGTTACTTTGTGAAGTCTTGCTCCAGCATTGTGTCTGTGAATATTCCATGTCTTGATTAAAGCAAGTGCTTTAACAATCACTGTAATGCGTGTCCTTGATGGCAACAAAAGCAACATGACAAAATAGTGTTTAATTTATTATTAATAATATTGTTGCAATGTAATCTCTTACCAGGAAGCTTTGGTTGCTAAGCAAAATATTAGGCAAATATTAGGGTAATAAATGGAAAGAACTATTCCTTAAGTGTAACAGTATTACAGTATTATTGGTTTAAAACCTGGAGCATTTATACAGAATTCAATTATTGAATTCTGTCCATATATCAGAGATTTTACAATGGTTTTGGAACGAAAATATCAGTTTTATAATAGTGTTTTGATTATAGTCATGTTTCCTGAATTAGTCGTGTCTAGTTTTCTGTTTACCTGACTATTTATCTGTCTCAGATTTCTGAATATTTTCTAGTCCTTTGCTTAGGAAAAAAAAGAAACACTGTGCTTGTGTCCGTTTATTCACGTCATGACAAGAAAAGCAAAATGTGGGCAAATATCACTCTTTGATACTGTCTTTTCCACAAGTTGTCGGTGTGAAATGACCTTTTTTAAACCATGCGTCTGAGTCACATAAGCATGTGCAGTCACATAAGCATTGATTCATCTATAGGCACAATACAGTGTCTTTAGGAAGTTGCTGTGTTGTAGTATTGAAAAGTTATCAAACTTTTGAAGCATTGTGCAACCCTAACATTACGTGTACAATGTATCGTTACACTCTCTGCTGAAACTTCCAGCTAAGTCTGACTTACCTGATGAGAAGATGGTCTACCAGTTTGAGCAGCTCTACCTGTGTCTGGGCAGCTGGTAGCTCTTCAAACTGCAATAGCTAACACATTACACTAATGATAGTTTTTAAGTCATTTATGAATTTTAACCTAATTACAACAACACCCCTTACTTCATTATTAATTACTCCTGAACAAACAAGTATGTACAGTTGTGGTCATAGGTTTACATACTCCTTGCAGAATCTGAAAATGATCAAAGACTGTTTTTATGTTTTGTGATAGCTGTTCATGAGTCCCTTGTTTGTCTTGAGCAACTGTTAAAACTGAGGGACTCATTCACAACTATTACAAATGATGCAAACATTCACTGATTCTCAAGAGGGCAACACACTACATTAAGAGCTGGGGGGTGTAAACTTTTGAACAGGATGATTGGTGTAAATTGTTATTATTTTGTTTAAAGATCTTTTCTTTTATTTAGCACGGCCCTTCAGAAGCTACATAAGATATTTACATGTTTCCCAGAAGACAAAATAATAACAATTTACCCAGATCATCCTGGTCAAAAGTTTACACCCCCCCTGGCTCTCGTGTTGACTTCTTGAGCATCAGTGAATGTTTGTGCCTTTTGTAATAGTTGTGTATGAGTCTCTCAGTTGTCCTAAGTGTGAAAAGATGGATCTCAACATCATATAGTCACTATTGGAAAGGGGTCAAATATGCAGAGGATGCTGGAAAAGCAAAGAATGTGCAGGACCTGGAGGATTTTGCTGAAGAACAGTTTAACTGCTCAGGGCAAACAAGGGACTCATGCACAACTATCACAAAACATAAAAACAGTCATTGATCATCCAGGTAACAACACACAGTATTAAGAATCAGGTGTATGTAAACTTTTGAACTGGTTCCTTTGTGTAAATTCAGTTACTATTGTGTCTTGTGGACTGTATGTAAACATCTGCTATGTGAAATAGCTTATTCAGGGCAGTACTAAATAAATTTAAAAAAAAAAAAGTATGATTCCTCATTTTATTATTTATTTATTTTATTTTTTTTAATCCATTTACAGTTGGGGTACATATGTAAACTTATGACCCCAACTGTAAATGAATTCAAATGTTTTTCTTCGATAACTTTGATAACTTAGTGCCTAGGCCCCCATCACTCTTCTAGTGACATTGTATTTCATCATCAGGGTCTTCTTCATCAACTGGGTGAATATGTGAAGCAGAGAGTAGCAACACACAGCACTTCCCTAATTGGACTTATGGGATTGTGTGATGCTGGATGTTAATTTAGAGAACATTCACTGCCTCATATTCACCCAGTTAATGAAGAAGGTTGGATGAGTTAAACCCCTCCATCACAATTCTTATACATGATGGATTGTTTTGAACAGAGTGAGTTAGCTGTGTATGTAAGTACAACAGTGAGTGTCAGAAGCTTGCTGCTTTACTTAATGTGTGTGTGTGTGTGTGTGTGTGTGTGTGTGTGTGTCTCTGTGTGTGTTAGAGAGAGAGAGAGAGAGAGAACAGGTGCTCTGGGCTGATTGAGTCATCGCTCACCCTGTGTTGTCCTCTGGTGTTTGTGCCTCCTCTCCTGGCAACCTGGTGACCTGGCTTTGGACACACACACACACACACACACACACACACACACACACACACACACACACACACAAAGCTCTCATCCACCCACACATAACATATACACATTCCTATGAGCTGCCCCTTCACACTAGGCCACAAACATCCCTTCAAACACACAAATACAAGCACACCATCACACCATCATGCCATCATGCCTCTCCTACGCACTCACACATTTACCATTATGTCTCCCCAGGACACACACACACCAGCATGCCCAGTCAGTTCATTTTGACTCTACAGGAGGTTCTGAGTGGAAAATGTCAGAAGTGTGACCTCACACACTCATTGCTGTCCTGCAGAAAATCAAATATGAAGGACAGAGACCAGTGGCAAGATGTGTCACTAAAAATACTGTTTCTGTCAGTCTGGATCTTCATGACATACACATGCACACAAACAGACTCACACACTCTCACACACACACACACAGAGCTAAAGATCTTACATGACCTTTTATAGGGGACATACTGTATATGAGTTTTTTTTTTTTATGAATACCTACACTGCTGAAATAATAATAATAATAATAATAATAATAATAATAATAATAATAATAATAATAATAATAATTGCACATAGTGTTAATAATAACTAATAACTAAATAACTAAATAAGAATGATAATATTAACTACACATAGCAACATAGGTTGCTATAAGTAAAGTCATAAAAGCTTGATGGATGGATGAATGAAAAAAAAGGATTATAGGATTTGAAAAAGAAATTGATAGAAAAATCCAAAAATTGTGAAAAGAGAAGAATAATGTAGATGGACTCATATTGGAGTTTTAGTAATTATGAATTTCTGATGCCTTCATCAAACTCTTAATCACCATTTGGGAACTCAACATCCATAATCCATGGATAATCTGACTGATAGCTCATATGCACACCTCAATCAGAATAGAGTAAAACAAATGGAGGCCAATCTGAATGAAGTTACTGTCTGGTAAAATAAGAGGGGTAATCATTTTAAATAATGCATGAAATACATTATACAATACAGTGGCCAATCATGGACACCTTTCTACCCACAAAATATTTCAAAGAAAACTAAAATTAATAATGCAAATACTACTGTTATCAATATTGCTGATGCATGCACACAAGTCATAGATCCTCATGCTGTGCTATAAAAAACAAGTACATTGCTTTTACATTCAGCGCCACTACTTAAAAGCATCTTCCCATATGCATGACAAGATCTGCCCAAGGAGTAAGAAGTGCTCGGATTAAAATTTGTTTGTTTGTCGGATCAGCCATTTTGATTAATGAGTAATATACACTGCAACAAAATTACTGAAGAAAAATGTTCTCCAGAGCTGCTTCTCCAAATCATTTGGGTGAAGTGCATCTTATGATATCAAATTGCCTTTTCATTTTTTCCCCCCTTTGAGTTTAGGTTCATTGAGCAGAGGCAGTCGAAGAGCTGAGCGAAGAACCTGGGAAGCAGAAGTGTGTTCAGGTGTTTTCGTAATGTCTGATAGGCAGAAAATGATCACTGTTACAATGACACATCTCTAACCATCTGAAGCTGCGTCTGATTGGTGTAGCAGTGTTGGATGGTTTTCAAACAGCCCAGCTAAATCTTGCTAGATCACAGTTCAATTAAAAGGAACTGAAAAGCAACCTAGAACTGAGTTCCAAATCAAAGCATAATTAAAATTTAATTGCACTTCCTGCCAGTATTTCTTCAATATTATATGGTTGTTTTTTCGGCTGCTCCCGTTAGGGGCCGCCACAGCGGATCACTGCTCCGCATGTTTGGTTTGGCACAGGTTTTACGCCGGATGCCCTTCCCTGATGCAACCCTCCCATTTTATCCGGGCTTGTGTCCGGCACTGAGTACACTCCCAGTGGCAGTGAGTATACTCCCAGTGGCAGTGAGTATACTCCCAGAGGCAGTGAGTATACTCCCAGTGGCAGTGAGTATACTCCCAGAGGCAGTGAGTATACTCCCAGTGGCAGTGAGTATACTCCCAGTGGCACTGAGTACACTCCCAGTGGCACTGAGTACACTCCCAGTGGCAGTGAGTATACTCCCAGAGGCAGTGAGTATACTCCCAGAGGCTGGGTCGGTTCCCTGCTTAGGATTCAGACCCGGGCCGCTGTAGTGAGAGTGCAGGATCCTTAGCCGCTAGACCACCAGGGACCTATTTCTTCAATACTATAAGGACCCAAAATTAAATGAATGAAGAATGTTAAACAGAGCAGATCAAAACGGGTGTATTTTAACTCCCTAATGTACATCACAGGTTTAAAAAAATGTTTCGAAGAAGAACATTAAGGTAGTGAAGAACTGTTAAGTCCATTAAAGTTCTGTTCATTGGCTTTTCATTGTGAAATAATAATAATAATAATAATAAAAACAAGGAAACAGCTTTTTATTTTTTTTTTGTTTGTTGTTGTTTTGTTTTTGTTGTCAGAAATTAATTCTCATTTTTTCCACACAATTATTTCATGAAATACAATCAAATCAAATATTAATGAAACAAAATAGGAAAAAAAAGCCCCCTACAGCACATTTGATCATGAAAAGAGCTGACCTGGAAGTACACACAGGCTATTCTGCAGGCTATTCTCTGGTTAAGATGTGCGCTCTAGAGCCATATTCTGTTTTCATAAAATATATGATAAAAATGAAATCTACATATGCAGAAATAAAATGTATTTTTGTAAAGCAGTTAGTGCTCCATTTTAGCATTACATCAGACGCTAATCTACACAGCATTTGCTGATACACGTCTGGATCATTCAAGCTTTCATTAATTTTAGACCTGTAGCAATGGAAAATAAGCAAAGGAGAGATACAAGAGCTTTCTGTAATATTTCCTGTTATGTAATATTTCTTTTAGCCATCAGATTAGCTACATGCATCTTGGCTGTCCCTCGTCAAGTCCCATATCATTCAAATTCATTAACATTTTTAAAGTTGCCCCAGCATTCACAGATCACATGTGGTCTGTTATCTATTGTCATGGTTTTGGTTGTTAAATGTGGCTTGATCAGATTTCAAACGCATCATGGGTACATTTACACTTGCATTTTTTTTTTTTTTTGTGAATAATCAATTAAGCTTTGTTGTAAATTGATGGTATAACATTAATTTAAAAAATAATATAATATTAATTCATCTGCAGGCATTTTAAACTTCATTCAGTGTTCTCATACTACAGCTGGAAAAAGGTCATAACCATTCACCCTGGACTGGGTTCTAGGCCAAATCAAATATCGACAGTTCTTCAGAAAATTACATCTTATTCTTAGAGAATGGAATGGGTACATTCCCAAACGTGGACTCAAGTTATAAAGCAATTTGTTTCACTTATTATGAGGCAGCCATAAATTAATCTGAAATTGAAAAAATGCTAATAAAATGAAGAGCTATTGGACGATGGCCCAAACCTGTAAACAGCCTGTGAACGACTCAGGAACGCAACATCTATATTTCATTTCCGATTAGATTCCCACACTCTGTATCAAGATTGCTCTCCACTCTTTCCCCTTTTCAGGATATTTATAATTGATTTCAATCTGATGCACACAATATTTCTATTTTGAGATCATTTTGGAAATATGATTTTGGATCACTAGCCACTCAGCATTTTTTTTTTCTGTAAGCCTGGTGATATATTCAATCATAAATATTAATGATCAGTATGAATTACAGGTTCCACATATATGCACTTAGTCTATGCATGATATAGAGATAAAAGAGTGATATCACAAGTATCAGGGTAAAACATATGCATGCACATACACTTGGGGTCAAATATTTCCAAGCATATTTCCAAGCACACTTAAAGGCATCTTTGTCATGAAAAACAGGAATAAGTCACTCTACGCAGTTTGTCATAGTGTGTGTAACTCGGTGATTATGCTGAATACATACCTTTCTCTTGAAGTGACCTCTTCAAATAAATTACTGCCTTTTCTTTTATCTGGAAAAGGGATCAGAGTGTGAGTGGAGCGTACAGTGAAAGTGTCATACTGGCTTAGATAAAATTAAGAGATTGGAATTGCTGACCTGCTCCAATGCTTCAACATAGCAACTTACCCTAAGTCTGAAGAGAAGAGAATTGTTCACTTACAAGGGTGGCTTTAAGATAGTATTCTCACTGATGTATTGTTAATCTCCAATATTTTTTTCTGTAGGAAATGTTTGGTGTTATTATTTTGCCTGTAGGAAAAGTTTGGTGTCATTATTTTGCCTGTAGGAAATGTTTGACCTCAATATTTTGTCTGTAGGTATTGTTTGGCCTTATTATTATTATTATTGTTTGGCCTTATTGTCATCATTTTGTTTGTAGGATATTTTGTGCCTCATTTTTTGTCAGTGTTTACAGTTGTATGCAAACGTTTGGGCACCCCTGGGTAAATTACATATTTTACTGATTTTTGTGAAAAGAAGTAAAAGTAACTGTTTATTTATTTATTTATTTATTTATTTATTTTTTTGCATATGTTAATGCACACTAACCTTATATTTGACAAATGTAAAAATAGAAGAAAAAAAAAAGATCAGTAATTTTGACATTTGCAAAAGTTTGTACAGAAAAGTTGTAAAGTCTAAGAATTTAATTAACTCGTTAGGCCTTAATTGGTTCAGTAAGGCTGTAAAATTCAAAGTATGAATATGAAATAAAATATACACCGATCAGTCATAACATCAAAACCACTGACCTGTGAAGTGAATAACAATGGCATCAATCAAGGGGCGGGATATATTGGGTAGCAAGTGAACAGTCAGTTCTCAAAGTTGGTGTGTTGGAAGCAGGAAAAATGGGCAAGCGTAAGGATCTGAGTGACAAGGTCCAAATTGTGATGGCTAGATGACTGGGTCGGAGCATCTCTGATACGGCAGGTCTTGTGGGGTGTTCCTGGTATGCTGTATTTAGTACCTACCAAAAGTGGTCCAAGAAAGGACAACCGGTGGCGACAGGGTCATGGGCACCCAAGGCTCACTGATGCACGTGGGGAGTGAAGGCTAGCCTGTCTGGTCTGATACCACTCAGACCTGTCAGAGTGCCCATGCTGACCCCTGTCCACCAACGAAAATGCCCGCAATGGGCATGTGGGCATCAGAACTGGACCATGGAGCAGTAGAAGACGGTGGTCTGGTCTGATGAATCACATTTTCTTTTACATCATGTGGATGGCCAGGTGCGGGTGTGTTGCTTACCTGGGGAAGAGATGGCACCAGGATGCATTGTGGGAAGAAAGCAAGCTGGCAGAGGCAGTGTGATGCTCTGGGCAATGTTCTGCTGGGAAACCTTGGGTCCTGGCATTGATGTGGATGTTACTTTGACACATACCACCTACTTCAACATTGTTGCAGACCAAGTAAACCCCTTCATGGCAGCGGTATTCCATAATGGCAGTGGCGTCTTTCAGGATTTTTGCCACACTGCAAATAATTGTTCAGGAATGGTTTGAGGAACATGACAAAGACCTCAAGGTGTTGACTTGGCCTCCAAATTGCCCAGATGTCAATCCAATCGAGCATCTATGTGATGTGCTGGACAAGCAAGTCTGATCCATGGAGGACCCACCTCGCAATTTGCAAGACTTAAAGGATCTGCTGCTAACATCTTGGTGCCATATACCACAGCACACCATCAGAGGTCTTGTGAAGTCCATGCCTCGATGGGTCAGAGCTGTTTTGTTGGCACAAGGGGGACCTACACAATATTAGGCAGGTGGATTTAATGTTATGGGTGAGCGGTGTAAATATCGGTGCCCCCAGCTTACAAGGTCCACTGTCCGAAATGTCATTAAGAAATTGCAGTTAAAGGGACCTGTGGAAGTCAAGAAACAACATACAAATTCTGGAGGCAAATGTGGCATAGTCAGTCAAGAAACTGAAGCTGAAAGAGGTTGGGTTCTACAACAGCACAAAGATCCAAAACATACCTCAAAATCCACCATGAACTACTTCAAAAAAATGCAAGCTGAAGCTTTTGTAATTGCCCTCACAGTTTCCTGACTTCAAGATCATTGAAAATGTGTTGGTAGATCTTAAACATGCATACATGCAAAAGAGCACAATAATAGCACAATAATAGCACAATCATTCTGCAAGGAAACATAAAATCTTTTGCAGGCTGTGATATCTGCCAGAGGGGGTGTTACTAAGTACTTACTTAGTAGGGTGTAAACTTTTGCACATGCCCTAATTACGTTTTTCTATTTTTAAGTCTACCCAATGTAAAGCAACTGTGCACTGATATAAAATCAATGTTGTTATAGTTTGCCTTTAGTTTTTGTCTGTAGGTATTGTTTGGCCTCATAATTTTGTCTGTGTTGTTTGGCCTTTTTTTTTAACCTGTTGAGGTTCTCTTTGGGAGTGACGAGGTTGGACAGGATTAGGAACGAGTACATCAGAGGGACAGCTCATGTTGAACGTTTGGGGGACAAAGTTAGGGAGGCCAGATTAAGATGGTTTGGACATGTTCAGAGGAGGGAGAGTGAGTATATTGGTAGGAGAATGTTGGACATGGAGCTGCCAGGCAGGAGGCGAAGAGGAGGAAGGCCAAAGAGGAGGTATATGGAGGTAATAAATGAGGATATGAAGCTAGTGGGTGCAAGTGTTGAGGATGCAGAAGATAGGGATAGGTGGAGAGTGATGATTCGCTGTGGCGACCCCTGAAGGGAAAAGCCGAAAGAAGAAGAAGAAGAAGAAGAAAGAAGAAGAAGACAATGCTACCTCATTACTTTGTTTGTAGGTGTTGGCTGGCCTAAGTATTTTTGTCTGTATGTATTTTTGGCATCATTATTTTGTCTGTACTTATTATTTGCCTCTTTATAGGTTTTTTTTGGCTTCATGATTCTGTCTTTAGTTATTGCTTGGCCTCATCATTTCTTCTGTATTTTATCTATAGGTATTGTTCAGCCGTATTATTTTGTCTGTAGGTATTGCTTGAACACATTCTGTCCTTGGTAAAAATGGGTTTGGCCTCATAATTTTGTCTGTAAATATTTTTGGCCTTTATTATTTAACTTCATTATTTTATCTGTAGGTATTGTTCAGCCTCATTATTTTGATTGTGGGTATTTTTGGTCTCATTACTTTGCTGTAGGAATTGTTTGGTTGTATTATATTGTCTAGATTATTATTAATATAATAATAATAATAATTATTATTATTATTAT